CATAGCGCTTGTGTTCAAGTAACCCTTATATTACTCATAACGGCCACAAGATGAAGGAGTAATCATGCCAGCAATTTGGATATGTCAAAGAAAAGCCATAAAATGCTTCCTGTAAATGAAAAGGTGAGCTGGATATGGGGGGCATATGCCTATAATCCCAGCACTCAGGAGGCTGAGGCAAGAAAATTGCTTCAAGTTTGAGGCCAGCCTGAACTACACAGTGAGTTTAAAACCACAGCAAGACCCTGGCTCAAAACAAACTAACTTAATGAAAAGGTGAAAGTTCTTAATAAGAAAAAATCATATGCTGAAGTTGCTAAGATCTACAGTGAGAACAAATCTATGAAACTGTGGAAGAAAAAAAAGCGTTTTGCTGTTACACCTCAAACTGCAAATGTGTGCTAGAAGTGCTTGGTTAATATGAACAGGCTGCCTACCATACATGAGGCCTTGGGTTAGATCCCAGCACCTCTACAAGAAATGGAGGTCATTACATTTATCGGCAGAAGATGAGAATAGAAAACGTGTTCAACTGATGGCAATGGGTCGCATCAGAAAGCACGGAACCCGTAGGCAGACTTCAGCAAGGAATCCCAAAACTAGAGACACCAAGCCATTTCCAACAAGGGCTGTTATACAGGTTTAGGAATAGGTTTGAATAGAAAGTATAAAAATGAGTAGAGAAGCTGTGACTGCCAATGATGAAGCAGAACTGAAGTTGATTGAAGAGAAAGACATCATCCACAGAAAGCCTTCAACTTTGATGAAAATGTGCTAACTCCGGTATTGCGTGGCAGTGCTCTAAGTTATATGATAAAGCTAGTAGTAGTGTACAGAAGAACTCACACACTTCTTGGTTTTCTTTGGTCTTTTTGAGACAGGGTCTCACTATGCAGTTCAGACTGGGCTTGAGCTCACTTTGCAGCCTAGGCTGGTCTTGAACTCACAACGATCCTCCTGCCTCAGCCTCCTGAGTGCTGGGACTACAGGCCTGCGCCACCACACCCGGCCTTTTTTTTTGGTCCACGCACTCTGAAAAACAAAATTTCTACTTTTAATCAAGAGTCTATACTGTTGGGCATGGTGGCACACACCTTAATCCCAGCACTCAGGAGCCTGAGGCAGGAGGATCACTGCAAGAGAGGCCTGCCTGGGCTATGTAGTGAGTTCAAGGCCTGAACTATATAGCAAGACCCTGTCTCAAAAAGAAAAAAGACACTATACTCATATAACTTTTATTATAGTATGTTTTTATTATTCCCTTATAGTGCCTTATTTATAAATTAAAACCTATCATGGAAATGTAAGAAAAAAGTATACATAGGGTTCAGTACTACCCATGGTTTCAGGTGCTACTGAGGGTCTTAGGTGTCTTCTGAGGACAGGGGTACAAACGTACATATACCCTCTCCCTGAAGCCTGAGGGGCAGGTAGGCCCGACCATCACATAGAATCAGCAAGACGGAGAGCAGTGCTGCTCCTTGGCCCTGACCACAGAGGAAGGACGCTTGCCTTTATGTGCGTATCACCAAGGTACCGAGCCAGAGGTATCCAGAGCTGACAGAAGCGAGTGATGTGCTTGGGGGAGCAGCTTCCTGGGGGAGCGCTGACTTCACTGCAGAGCCACAGCCCAAATGCGAGCATCCTCATGCCTCCTGCACCTTTGCCCACCGAGGTGAGCCAGTGCCCGCCTTCTCCAGATGTTAACATGGCCAGTGGGGACACTGCTGGAGGGACTGAAGGCTGCAGTGGCCCAGCTGCTTCAGTATCTGTTTACTTCTTCCCACAGTGTTTCAGCAGGATGGAGGAGCCGTGTGTCCTGAGGATCTCTTCTGGTATATGAGGTATGATAAAACAGACCAAATGTTTAAATTTTTAAAATTTACAACAGTAAAACACACATTGCCATTGATCCCTCACAATATTCCCCCTCAGTTCGAACACACTTATGCCACTGCCCCTGCCCCCTTCTGAAGTCTTCTAGAAGTCTTTGTGTCCTCCCAAGGTGTAGTAAGGACGTGGCAGACGCTGCTGCCCTCCAATGCAGAGGCAGGCTTCAACACGGTGTCCTCGTCCACCTCACTCAAGTCTGGTCCTGTAAGACTTCCATTTCTTCCCCTCAGTCAAAATGATCTTGAAAAGTAAACCTTCTGAATTGACTACAGAGACTGAGGAAGCCACACCAGCGCAACTAAAGACACTCATGAAAAACAGCTTCCAGAACTGCTTCAGAAAGTGGCAAGAATGTTCAAAGTAAGGGAGAATGAATGGCAATAGCTCTTGTAATTTTTAAAAAATTTATTAACCACATATTTTTTCACACCATGTATTTGACCGCACCACATAGTAGGAAGTTAACCCTTTTGGGGTAGAGAGTCAGAGTGTCAGGCAATGCAGCCCGGCTGTCAATCAGTGAGTAAAGTCCTTAATGTTCAGGGAGTTTTTGTGTATAGGGACTTATAAGGAAGTATACTCTGTTTAAGTATACTCTGTTCATATATCTTTCACATTTACTGGCTGGTTAACATTTCCGTACTACCACCCAGCATTTTGTACTGTTTACACAATTTAGTACATTAAATGTCCATAAATATTTAACTGTTAACTGTAAACTTTTTTTAGTGGGTCTCGTTATATAGCCCAGGCTGGCCCTGAACTCATGGTGATCCTCCTGCCTCAGTGCTGGGATTACAGGTGTGTACCACTATACCTGGCTGTGTTTTGTTCTTTTGAGACAGGTTCTTGCTATGTAGTTTAGGTTCACCTTAAATTCCCTATGTAGCCCAGGAAGTTGGCCTCAAACTCACAGTGATCCTCCTGCCTCAGCCTCCTGCTGAGATTACAGGCATGCACCACCACACTAGGAAACTGTAAATTTATTTAATCAGAATTTATTTTGGCCCAGCGCAGTGGCACACGCCTATAATCCCAGCACTTGGGAAGCTGAGGCAGGAGAATCATTGCAAGTTCTAGACCAGCCTGGGCTACAAAGTGAGCTCAAGGCCAGCCTGAACTGCATAGCGAGACCCTGTCTCAAAAAGACAAAAAGGAAAATTATTCTGAGTATTTCATAAAGGAAAACAAACTCTTCTTCCTGTACTCACTCATCTCCCCATGTCATTTTTTTCTCCCCATGTCATTTTGTGCTGCCCAATAATTTAAGCAGGAATTTAAAAATGCAAGACCCTTTCATTGCTATAGGCTTGGTTCACAACCAAAAAATGACTTTTATCCCCTAGTAAATTAACTGTACAACCTAATGTCCTCTGATTAAAACTCAGATCCTTTCTGGTTTTCTATTGCTACATTCAATGAAGAATTCATCCTCTTTTTTTCTTGGTATTTTTGAGACAGGTTTCACTGTGTGGCCCACACTGGCCTTGAACCCTAGCGATCCGCCTGCCACTTTGTGTTTTATTCTGAAACAGGACTTTGCTAATTCTCTAAATTTCCTAGTCTGGCCTAGAATGTACAATCTCCCACTTCATGCTCCTAAATAGCTGGGATTACAGGTAAGTACCTCTAGCCCCAATGAATTCACCTACATAAGGAAAAACTGTTAAAACACTCAGGAATAAACACAAATTGTTGCTGCTGCGTCAAACCATATGATGCTTGCCTCCTTATAGAAACATCAAATCCAGGAGCATTACAGGGCCAGGGATATAGCTCAGTGGCATAACTGCCTGCCTGGCAAGCACAAGGTCCTGAGTTCAATTCCTGGTACCAAAAAACAAAAACAAAAACAAACAAAAAACCAGGAGCATTACAGATTGAGGAGAATAGAAGTAAACATTTTTTTTTTTTGTACCCGGAATCGAATTCAGAACCCTGAGCCTTGCCACAGCACAGGCAGGTGCTGTGCCGCTGAGCTATATCCCCAGTCCGCATATAAAGATTTTAAACTGCCATTATTAGCAAGCGAAATAATAAAGTACATCAAAGGTGGCATGAGTAGCAGTGTTAGAAAGAGGAGCAAGAGACGAGGGAACTGCCACCACACAGCGCTGGACCCCTCTCCACAGATCTCACACTGGGGAAAAGTAATTTAATTAAGAAAGCCCTTGAAATCCAAGCTGTTCCACATGAAGTACTGTTAAAGTTGGAAGAGGGTACATATCCCCCTTTTCTAATATCGGGCTTATTTTCATGGCTATGGTCTCTTGGACTAGCCCCCAAAATAAGCAACTGGCTGCCAACACGGGCACACAGGACCGTTTCCCTTCTCGTTAATGGGCCGTCAACTCCTGTGCGGGGTAGTCGTGCCTTAACTAACGCTGCACAACCCATTTACCTCGTCTACACTAGTGACTTCAAATGCACCTTGGGGAGACACGACAGAACAGCAAAGATGGACTCAAGCCAATCTGAGGCTTGCAAAGACGCAGGAAAAGATGCAGAGTTGAGGACAAAGTTTAAAAAATAAAGCCTAGCAGGATGCATACGTAGGAGGGTGCGGGGTGGTGGGACCCACCCTTGGTCAATTTGCTGAGGCAGATGGCCCTGCTGCGAGAGCTGCCCCCTCCTGGGAAAAGAGCCAGTAGGTTGCCTCCTCTCTCCACAGCTACATATTAGGCCTGCAACTGTTTACGTTCAGTCTCAGATACATTCTGTCCACCAGCTTCAGAGTTCCATGCGCAGGTGCCCTCAGTTAATCATCGCAGCTCACTCCAGAGTCACTTCCAGCAGCGAAGGACGTTCCAGGCAGCCAGCCAGCCAGCAGCGATTTTTTTTCCTTTTTAATCTGTACCACTGTGGTCTCCAAAGACTAAGTTTAAAGTTTGGTTTTTGTTTAAAGTGCTTTCCTCAAACAAGAAGATAACAGTCATAGGACAAATCTAGGACTTCAATTTGGACAAGGAGAGAAACAAATGAAAAAAGAGAAATATATTCCTGAAAGCGGTCAGGTTGGGGTGGGCCCATGGAGCAGGAAATGGAGATGAACAATAACTCAAAATACTTTGCAAGTTACTGCCCAGGACAAGAAAATCAACTTCATGTTCATTTTGAAGAAGCTATTTATTTATTTTCCCCCAAATATTCTAAATAGGTGTCTTACAGACAGGGTTAATGAGTCAGAAATATGCTATGCAATAAAACCACTTTTACAGACACTGGGAATAACTCTAACAAAATATTCACACTTATGTGGCTATAGCTATGTTTCATAGAAAAATTTCAGCATCCAAAGTGCAAAGACAAAAATGACTTTTTTTTTTTTTTTTTTTTTTGGGGAACTGGGAATAGAACTCAGGCACTGCTACACCACTGAGCTATACTCCTGGTCCCCTTTTTTTTGACTGACTTTTCTTGCCACATGAAATACTGATATTCTTCCTTTATAGCTACCGTTAATTATTAGTAAGATGCCACGCAGACAACGTACTGACCTAGAAACAGGGCTCCACTGGACAAGGAATGGGAGGTCAATCAGAATGAATTCAAGTTTGAAGAACAAAATGGCTTTGACCTCAATCAACCCAAAAGTACAGGCAGAGGTCCATTAGAGATTAAACACTAGTTGTAGGATCACATTTACAAGGTTGTGCCACTTTACACTATTAAGACCTAATCAAACCAAATTAAAGCTAAGCATATTCCCAGCACTAGTTCTGTCCTCCACCTATCTCATTTTTATGAAGGCTCCACACCATAGCTCAGGCCTTAAAGGGGGAAGGATTTGAATCCCAAATTCTGCGGAGGAGCCACACTAATCCTCTCTTAAATTCCTTCTTTACCCTGCCCTCCCACTTCCTACCCCGAGACAAGTCAGTCTTACCAAAGAAGTAGAACTTGTCATTGTCTCGTGAAAATTAGTTCTCAGTGACACAAGTGAAAAGCCATTCCACAAGCAGCATTTGCCTTTAGGCCAAAGGGATGCCCTCCACCCCCAAAAGATACAGAACAAATTCCGTATTACCTCTCTATTCATGTAAAGATCTCCAATCTAAAAGCTCCAAATGATAACCAGCACAATATGCTGATGTTAAGTTACTGCAGGAGAAAGAAAGGGAGATATATATAGTTGTAATAAAACCCTCATGCACAATTAAACTTGATTAAAGGCCTGGAGAATGCTAAAAGCAGTAATGAGCACAGAAGGCTGCAGAGCGCAGAGTACAGGTGTGCCCCTTCTCGCAGCTGGTAATGCTGGGAAGGAACAGGCAGACGTCACTTCACTTGAGCATCGGAGAAGCAAAAAACTTGCCTTGTCGTCCTAGGTTAGTGGCAGACTTGGTTTTGCTCCCAAACCTACCAAAAAAAGAAATAAAAAAAAGAGAATAAACTGTGAAAGTATGCTATAAAAAATGACAAAAAACAAGTATGCTAATTTGAAATAATTGAGTAAAAGTAGGAAATCCTAGACAATATTTTAAGGCATTCTTATTTTACCTGAAATGAGAGAGGGAAAGGAGTAAAGACCTTCAGACCCTTTCTTAAGAAGAGGAGCTATAGCTCTAAGTTTCTTTGTAAAATCTAGTTGCTAGCCTAAGATCCAGTCTGGTTTTTCTTACAATAAACTTTTTTTTTTTTTTAAAGTCTTTTTGAGATAGGGTCTCACTATGTAGTTCAGGCTGGCCTTGAGCTCACTTTGTAGTCCAGGCTGGTCTCAAACTTGCAACGATCCTCCTGCCTCAGCCTTCCGATCGCTGGGATTACAGGTGTGTGCCACCATGCCCGGCTTTTACAATAAACTTCTAATATGCTAGGAAAGAAGTCTAAGCAAGTAGTAAATGTTATTTAAGAAGAAAGCAAATTTTCCATACCTGGGAGTGTTTCTGGAGAGGATGGAGTGAACTCTCTGTGACAGGGAGCTTGAAGAAGGAGTCTTAAGAAGCTGGTGTTCAGGAGTGGTCACAGGCCCCAATAAGCTCACTTCAAACAAAGAAAATTTGGACATATTTTTAAAAGGGGGTGAGGGGGAATTACCCTTAAAGATGGCCAGTGTTTGTTTTGTTTGTTTTTTTCAGACAGGGTCTCACTATGTAGTTCAGGCTGGCCTTGAACTCACTATGTATCCCAGACTGGCCTCGAACTCATGGTGATCCTCCTGCCTCAGCCTCCCAAGTGTTCAGACTATAAGCATGCACCACCACACCTGGCAGTGGCCAGTTTTAAACCTACTACTCTGTGAAGCACTTAACAGCGAAGGTTAAACACCTAGGAAAGTCTCACAGGTCATTTTTGTCATCCTTTTGTGACGTGCTGGTGCATCTTGTGAACTATGTAGGAAACTACTCAGTGAACAGCTGACATTTAGTTGCTGACTTGCACTATTTTCAAACACCAAACTTCACATACCCAACATCTGAACATTTAATTTTTATACTAGGAGAAACAATATGCTTCCTTTCAAAGGAGCTTTCACTAGAGAAAAAAATGGGTCTCCAGTGCCAGTGAAGTTGGAATGAAACCACCTTATTCACACAAACTGTTGGTGACAACACAGGCAGAAAACCTTTTAAGAAATCAAGTTGGTAAAATATATCAAGTAATATAAAAACGATTAACCTGTTCCCACCACCTCGAATCACCGTGGCACGTGCATAACTATCCCATCTGGCAGCCTTTACCACTGCTGCTACAAGTGGTCCAGGCACATATGGGATAGCCACGCATGTACCACTTGTGATTCAAGCACCTGGCAGTCAGACATTTCAATCAATAATAAGTAACTTATTATTCACAACTATAAAAATGCTAAGATTATACAGAAGCAGATGCGTTCTTGTAATTCCATATACTCAGAAGACTGAAGTAAGAAGATCACAAGCTTGAGGCCAGGTCAGGCAAATGAGATCCTGTCTCAAAACAACAACAGCAACAACAAAGGGAAATGCAAAGGAAGGGGACAGGGGAAAGAGGGCTGGAGAGCAGCTCAGTAGGAGAGCACTTGCCTAGCATAAGCGTGGTCCAGGGTTCCATCCCTGGTACCACATACACTTTTTTCTTTTTTTGTCTTTTTGAGGGTCTCGCACTGCAGTTCAGGCTGCCCTTGAGCTCACTTTGTAGCCCAGGCTGGTCTCGAACTTGCAACAATCCTCCCGCCTCAGACTCCCTAGTGCTGGGATTATAAGCATGTGCCACCATGCCTGGCCCACATACACTTTTAAAGAGATCATATAGTAACAGAAAAACAGGGGCTGGGGATTTAGCTCAGCGGCAAAGCACCTGCCTGGCAAGCGCAACGTCGTGAGTTCGGTTCCTGGTACCGGAGAAAAACCAAAAAAAAAAAGTAACAGAAAAACAATCCTCATAATATGGTAAGTGAAATAAGAACAAATTATGTCTAAATTACTATTACCTACATTACAGACATAAGTTCAGGGGTTGGGGACACAGCTTAGTTGCAGGCTGCTTTCCTAGAATGCATGAGGCTCTGCATTCAATCACCAGCACAACCAAAAATAAAAAGAAGAAAGCAATACATCCATATAAATAAAGGGATATAGGGAAAAAAATTAGGATGGTGAGACTATACAAATTTTCCTTTAGTGTTAGAATTTTCAAAATAAATTTAACTTTTATTGAAGAATATGAATTTTAAATATTACTACAGTAAAGACAGGGAAAGGAATACAGTACATAACCGAAACTATAGAGAGACAAGGTCCCAAAGAAGCACAACTTAAGCCTGACCTTTACTGTCTGGTGTCTGTGGTGTTGAAAATGCATTTGTGTTTTCAATGACATGCAGGGAGTCAATGTTCTCCTGTTCCACGATCATGAACTGACTCCAGTACTCCAGGGGCAGCAAAAGCAGGCGCTCCACCACCTAAAGAACACCAAATGTATTTGCAAACTTCCAAAGCTCAAGACTTACTTTTCATCATGCTTTCATGTTATCACATTGCTCAAGTTTACACACATGCATGCCTACCTTGGGTTGACGCTTAATATCTTGTAGCATTGTCATCGGGTCTGGATTGGGCACAGCATGGGCGACTATAGTAGGGCCAAAGACTTTAGCCAGATTGGGAATATCCATTTTAGTGCTTGGACTCTGTGCCACTCTAAACGAAAGAGTATTAAATTAAAGATATACTCCTTCACTTAAATGCAGACCAAATCTAAGCTCTACAAGAAAACAATTCACCTCTCACATTCCCTAACACCTATCTACATTGTCTTCTCCTTGGAAAATTCCCTAATTCCCAGAACAAGTTTCTGCTGTACTCACCTCTGCAAGTGAATCATGAGGAAGGCTAATGTGTCCCTGTTGGCTTGGGGCAATTCACCAACAGCCTGGTACATGGCAGCTATGCTGTTGTCTTCATCTGTGATTTCTGTAAATGAAAAGAGAGCACCGAGAGGTCTAGACTTCTTTCCCTTGACAGCGGCCTTCCAAGATATCGAACACAAAGTCTCATCTATACAGTAAGCTTCTGAAACTTCTGATTAGGTTCATGACTGCATCAGACTCTAGTTTCATTAACAAGCAGAACACTGGCCAACAGCTCAATATGAGAAGTCAGAACTTTTAAAAAAATCACCCTTGTAGTTAGGGAAAACAGCTGGCAACCTATCTGCTAAGAAGAAAAGACAGACAACTACAGCGGCAATTTCCAAGAAGGTAATCATCAATAAGACACATTTAAGGGCCTACTGTACTGTGTATCAGGCACTATTCTAAATGTGGAGGATAAAGCAAACAGAAAGTCGCTGCCTCGTGGGACATATGTTCTGTTGGGAAGAGTCAGTCAAAATGCAAACACCTCTCAGGTAGTGATACATATAATAAAGAATACATGGGGAGCTGTTACTTTAGAAAGGTGATCATGAAAGTATTTCTGAGGACAAGCTATGTGAAGAAAACTTGAAAGAATAAAGGGGCAAACCACACAGCTATCTAGTAGGACAGCAATCAAGGCTGGGACAACAGCAACTGTGTAGGAGCTGAGGTGGGGAGAAAGCCTGACATAGTCTAATAAAGGCAAGAATGCCAGGATAACTGAAAGGCGAGAAGGGTGCGGAACAAAATGGTCTTAGAGATATAACCAGGAGCCAAACCATGTTAAAGCCTGTGGACCTCATTCTAAAAACGATGGGAAGATACTGGAGGATATTAAGGACAGAAGAGACATCATCAAACTTAAATTTTAAAAGGACCACCCTAGCTCCTGTATGAAGATCATATTATAAGGGACACAAGTAGAAACAGGACAATCAGCTAGCAGACGCTTACATATCTGAGGGGGCAAAGCATGTCATAAGGAGTTGTGCTTCTATTACCCCCTTCAAAAAATATCAAATTTAAGATCTATTTCATAAAACTGCAGACCAGATTTGACAATGGATCAGATGGGAGTGTGAAGAAGAATCAAAAATGGTTCTAACTTCAAAGAGCAACCTACGACTTGACCAGAAAACAAGATCAACAGTAACAAAAGAACCTTGTTAACACTTTGTACAGTTTAGAAAGAAGACTGGCATGAGGACACATATACAATTATTCACCCACCAAACTATCTGAACACCTACTGTATTTCAGGCACTGTACTGGGCAGGGGACAGATGAGTAAAAAGAGTGAACGATCCCAGCCCTGGTGGAACAACATTTAAGTATTAAGATCTGCCCTTACCTGCTGCCTCCATAAACGTTTTGTTTAATCGAAAGGTCAGAAGGGGTTCTTTGAGGTTTCGAAGGAAATCTTTCAGAAGGCTGCAGATGGCATGGATATCATCTACTTTGCTGAGGAGGGGTACAGTTTTCACTCTGAGGAATTTCTCTTTCAGCTCTTTTACTGTCCGGTCACAGCCTGAGATCCTATATAAGCCTGTCTATTGTCAAGATAACATTTTTATTTAAGAACCTCGTAATTATTAACACACACACAAATTCAGCCTGTCCCAAGGCTGACTCTTACCTCAGTCAGGCCTCTCTGCTCAATCTCATTTACACAGTGGACAACAATAGAAGGTATCATAGGAGAAGTCTGGGACACAAAGTCAGCCAGCATTCCCTGAAAAAAAAAGAGCTTTAAATTACTATTTATATCACTTAGACCAACAGGGAAAGATCATGTAATGAAGAACCACCTCTAAGAGCTGGGGATGTAGATCAGTGTAGTGTTTGCCTTGGATGTGCAAGACCCTTGGTTCAGCTCCTACTACCACCTCCCTGCCCAAAACATCACCTCTAGACTAATACTCAAGTTGGGACATCATAACTTTTTTTAACACAGGGTCTTGCTATGTAGTTTAGGCTGGCCTTGAACTCACTTTGTAGCCCAGGCTGGCCTCGAACTCATAGTGATCCTCCTGCCTCAGCCTCCTGAGTACTGAGATTACAGGAGTGTGCCACCACACCCAGCTAGCAAAGCATATATTAAAACAGAGATTCTCGATACTTTTTCCTGCTTCCACACTAGAACTGATTTATGATCAAATATACCACACTCTTGCTTGAACAAGTATGATCCCCAACTATGACTGCCTCCTCATCCACTCAAGGATAGCAGAAATTAAGCCATAATGAGATTATATGTATGGTCTTTAACATAAGCTAATTTATAACTATAAGAAAATCTTTTTACACTTTGATTATTAACAGTTAAAAAAAATTTAACACTTTGCATAGTTGATCATGACACAAATCTACCTACAGAGGAGAACTCCATGGTTCCATATTAGAATACAAAAGAATTATTTAAAACTGCATGTGCACAGATAAGAACTCTTACAGTTAAAAAGCCTGGGCATGGAGGCCCACACCTGTAACCCCAGGAGGGTGAGACAAGAGAGTAAGAAGATGGCAAGGTGAAGTCTCACCTGGGCAAACAACTTAGTGAGAACTGACTCAAAAAAATAAAATAAAATAAAATAAAGATGAAGCCCAGGGATATAGCTCAGCAGCACAGCACCTGCCTGGCAAGCGTGAGGTCATGAGTTTGATTCCTAGTACTAAAATAAATAAATAAATAAATAAATAAATAAATAAATAAGAAGAAAACATGAGATGTTTGTTTCCATTTCTGTCTTATTTGTACACTCAATAATTTCTTAATGAGATTTATAGATTTTTAGAAATAAGTAATCTTTTTGTTTTTGTTTTTTAGATTTCTGGTGGGTTTTTTTGTTTTGTTTTTTTTTTGAGACATGGTCTCACTATGTAGTCCAGGCTGGCCTCAAACTCTTGATCTCCTGCTTCAGACTTCTGAATGTTGGGACTACAGTTGTATGCTATCATGCCCAGCTCCAGTAACCTAATCTTGATAGCCTAGTTTGGAGTATCTCTAGCATAAGAGAAAAAAACCTTCACAGTTGGAATTATATGATGGCTGAGATTTGCATCAAAATAATTCAGTGGACAGGGTTGGGAGGAAGAAAAGAGAATAAATCAACAATACAAGGCCGGGTATGGTGGCGCACGCCTGTAATCCCAGCCCTCTGGAGGCTGACGCAAGCAGATCATTGCGAGTTCGAGACCAGCCTGGGCTACAAAGTGAGTTCAAGGCCAGCCTGAACTGCATAGGGAGACCCTGTCTCAAAGGAAAAAAAAAAAAAAAAAAACAATATGAGAGCTGAGTGTGCTGGCTCACGCCTGTAATCCTAGCACTTGGGAGGTTGAGGTAGGAGGACTGCTGAAAGTTTGAAGCCACCCTGAACTACATAGTCAGAGACGTGTCTCAAAAAACCAAAAACAGTAGACGTTAGTAAATCATGGATGTGACAAGAACCAAAGGTTAGTTATAGTAACCTATCTACTTGTATATATGTCTGAAATTTTCCAAAACAGGATGGGATAGGAGGAAAGGAGAAATTAGAACACAAGGGAACGAGAGAGGAGAGGGAATAAAAGAAGAGTAAAGAGACAGATGAGAGAGGAGAGGGAATAAAAGAAGAGTAAAGAGACAGGAGTGAAGAGAGGTTTGGTTTAGAAAGGTTGTTCAACAAACCCAAACACAACTTAGCTACAGGTTAACATTTTATAATTTCTATTCATTGTTCATGGAGGGAAACATTTGGCATTGGTAATTTTAGAAGAAAAACTGAAGACGGACATAGAGGCATACACCCATAATCTCAGTACTCCGGGAGGCTGAGGCACGATTACAAATTCAAGCCCAATCTGGGGAATTTAGCAACTTAGTGACACTGTTTCTCAGTTTTAAAAAAAATGTTAAAAGGGGTGGGGGGTGCTAAGGATGTAGTTTACAGTGTGAAGGCTCTGTATTCAATCCCCAGTATTGCCAAAAAAATAAAGCAAGCCTGACACTAAGCCTTTGAAAAGCTAAAGAAACCACAGTATGACAGCTCCGGGAGTCATACCTCTCCAATTTTGACAGGTGTCTCTGTCAGGGTAGGAATGCAGGGAAGGGGACAGCGTTCCCGACATTCTGGATGAGAGACCACACGACAGTCTCGACACTTTAGAGATAATTTGCCAAATTTTATCCGCTTTCCACATGGAACACAGGATTCAGGTTTAATAACCTGTGAATAAAACAGGGCAGAAGAGAGTAGTAGGAATTATAAAACTTTCATCATCAACCAACATGTAATGAGCACTTAGTATATACCTAACAATTTCTGAGACCTTTACACATATTTATTTATGTAATTTTCAGAAAAATCCTATAAAGGTTTTGTTTTTTTAAGATAAGAAAACTGAAACAAAAGGCAGTAACTTGCCCAAGGCCATCCAACTGGAAGAGCGGTGTACAGAAGTGAAAAGAACTCGTTGACAAGGAATCAGAAAGCCCGGATGTTAGATCTGCTGCTTATCATATGGCTCAAACAAGTGAATTAATTCCTATGAACCTCTAGTTAGTTCACTTGAGTTTTAGGAGGAAATCAAATTTACACACTTAAAAGATTTTGAAAACATAAGGTGCTATATTCAGGCATAAAGTAAGCATGTATCACTAAAAAGTGCAAACTATTGCTTCTGAAAAGCTGCCTTCTTTAATTTAGTATCATTCACAGAACAGAAAGATACATACCTTCTGTCACCAATACTACCTCCAGAGAGTAAGGGAATTCAACATGTAACTTTAAAACGCTAAAGAATTTGCATTTATTCCCAGTATGTAATACTTTCACAATTTAAAAAAATATTACTTTCATAATTCAAAAAACTAAATGTGTCCTAAAGAAAATAAAGCAATCACAGGTTTACCGTCTTCGAGACAAAATCGTGCAGACGCATCCCTCCTTTACTCTGTGGTGTGCTTGAGTTGTCTGTCTCCGTTCTCGGCTCCAGTGGTCTGCTGCTCAGGGTGGAGTCACTGTTCCAAGGTTGTAAAGTACCTAGCAAAATTAAACTTTTAACTGTTTTGTTGCATCTGAATTTTAGTCCCAATTTCAATATAACTAGTGGATAAACCATAATCTGTAATCAAAACCCAAAGTAAATTTCAACAGGTAAACAAAAATGCAGTTTTGAGAGAAACTAGTTGCCAGGCATGGGGGTGCATGCCTGTAATCTCAGCAACTGGGAGGTTGAGGCAGGAGGATCACTAGAAGTTCAACGTCAGCCTGAGCTACCCAGTGAGTTGAAGACCAGCCTGAACTACAAAGTGCGACTCTGTCTCAAAAAAAGAAAATGGTCAATCCATTAGTGGCACAGACCAGGCTAGCAACCTGAAGGTACAGAAGGACACAAACATATCTCTGGTCCTTAGAAGGCAGCAGTTAAGGAATTACCCATTACAACCAATTCTTGTCTCAAGAAGGTTCTAAAAAACCAACTCTCTCAAAGTTTACTAGTGGGTTACACAGGTAGCTTAGTCACACGAGCTCAGAAGACCTGTTTTCCTTCGGCTCCTGGTCCAGTACGGCACAGTCTCAATAGTGGACACAGCTTCAATGGGCCCACCATCATTGGGAACAGTCACTGTAGTTTTTGCAACTATGGATTCATTCCCCTGGAATAAAATTAGTAATGAGAGAAGGATGAACATCAAGTCTGACTTTCCACTGTAGAGTATTTTGGAGTGGAGAAAAATTCCTGAATGTTACTGGGCATGGTGGCGCACACCTGTAATTCCAGCATTCAGGAGGCTGAGGCAGGAGGATCCTTGTGAGTTTGAGGCCAGGATGGGCTACAAAGTGAGCTCAAGGCCAGCCTGAACTGCACAGTGAAACCCTGTCTCAAAAAGGCAAAAAAAAAAAAAAAAAAAAAAATCCTGAATTTTAGTCTATGGCTCCAGCTCCAAACACTCTTAAGTTGAAATCTCATTTTTTAAAATACAAGTGTAGGTCACAAAGACAGATATATAAGCAATAAAGACTCAAACATATAGCTGACAGCTGTTTATCAGAGTAATTCTACTCATACGAATGATAGGATCTTATTACATAGACAAACTCTCATAAAACATCTCTCAACATAATACTGCAATGTTGACTTAGCCATTTAATGCTCAGGGCCACTATCTCCTATGTATTCAAGAACAACCTTCTCGTGGCCTGCCCTCTCTTACCTGATCTACTGTGGAGCCAATAGAACGCGTTTTCTTTACAGGCCCAGGGGGTCCATCAACAAATTGTTGGCTACTCGAACGCTAGAAAAGGAACAAAGACCAAACATTTCAGTGCCAAGTATATATGAAGCACAGAAGATTAAATAATTCCATCAGATAACTAGATCCAAGTCCTAAGGATCAAGGCTACAATAAAAAAACAATGTGCTCTCTTTTGTTGCCCACTGCCACATGAAGAATAAGTTATACAAGCACAAAAATGTTCTCAGTGCCCCAGAAAAAAAAGGAACAAGCTTTGGAGAAATTTAGATGACAGCACCAGAAAAAGTAAAGCTGTAATCCTATCTTAGTACATTGAGGTCTTTGGAAACACATTAAGTACCCTAAACAAGCACACACAGATAGATCTCTATATCCTGTTATACACACATTTCATCTGAAGCTTATATTAGAGCACAAAAGTCATGCATAAAAATTCATATGACAACTCAAAACAAACTTAAGTATATCCTTTTCTACTACATGAATGAATTGAGATACAGCCCAGACCAGTGAAATAGGACAGAATCCTAGCCCAAATCACTGCTGCTGCCTTCTAAGTATTAATTTGTTTGTAATATGTGTTTAACACTGGCTAGAGCAGCACATCAAGAATGCAGTATCTTGGCAAATTTTGTGGTTACTTTGTTTAATAAACAAACAAACACACAAAAAAATACATACCCTCTTTTGTCTTTTCTTCAGCTTGAAATTTTTTACCAAAGAAGAATCCCAATCCTGTGGACAATATATTTTATTAATTTCTTTCTCTGGGTAACCCTCCTACAAGCCCTATGCACATAAATTTACAGTGAACTTTCAAGGTTTCATGAGTCAGAATACCTAACGTACAGTTTGAGGAGCGGGATAGTGAAGGTCTCCAGTGTTGTAGCTATAGGTCTATAGTAAGTTAACAAGCTTTGTTTCAAAAATTGAAGCTATTATAATAGAATCAGGAATCAATACTACAGAGGCAGAAAAGGTTAAAGAATCAACTTCTGTCATGATTATTTCTGGTGCCTGATCCTTTATTTCTGATTATTTTTATAATTAGTTTTAGAACTTACAGAATGTTAGGCACTATACTGATCATGTTAGATGTGATTCTTGACCTTAAGGGATTGCTACTATCTCATCAGATGTTTTGTAAAATACTGCCATTTTAAACGTTGAAGTTTAGGTTTTATGTCTCTCAATCATCCCTCTTCCTTGGGGCCTAAAAAAAGAGGTTCACCACTGAAGAATCATTTACCTTTTACTGTGGTCTAGTTTCATTTCACTTATCTTAACCATGTGCATTCATTTTAGTTCTCCATCAGTGATTTCCTTACTCCTGATCGTTAATGAAACCACAGTATCTAGAAACAGTTGCATGCTTCAAACAGCAGCTCAGTTAAATTAATTTTACTTCCCTAATTCAAGGTCAAGTAATTTAGCTTCTGGTTGTTTGATCCTGCTGCTAACATAGTCTTGTTATATTATTTATCCCAAACCTATTCTATATCACTCCTTGTTTCAAAAAGGAGCTGCTGGATGTGAAGGTGATCTGGCTGCGACATCGGTCACCCCATGGATCATCAGGGTCGATTATTTGGTTGATCTGGCTGGCCAGGAAGGTGTCCCTTTCCTCCCTCACATGAGCGTCCCTCCTGAAGCTGAAGCTGTGAAGCTGTGTGCTTGGTCAAAGAGGACGACCACCCCCAAAGAGGAGGACAGTTTCCTGCGCTCTCCTGCTAGAACTTCCAAACAAGCTCTCAAAAAGGGGCTGCCTAATAACTATCTGCAAAATGTTCATTTTTCCCTCTAGTCAAACACTGAATTTGAATAGAAAACCCCCAGCCATGGAACAGTTACCATTGTTTTGCTATGTCAGAAAACCAACCACTAATAACTTCCTCTGATTTATTGTTTTTGTTTTCTAGGTTTCAGTCAGCAGCAGACAAGATACACCAATCAATAAACTTCCAGCTGCCTGAATATCAAAGACTAAAATATCAGATGACCTTTATGCAGAAACACCACTATAAGAGAAGGGTACTGCCTCATAAAAGCAGGGTAACACAGAATGTAGATATGTTAACAATTGTTGATCACCACATACACTGCCTAGAAACTCTCACCACATTCTTTTGACTGAAGTTCCAGAAACTGGGTTTCCTTCTAATTATGAAGCGTGGCTAAGCTTTCCTCAAGAGCCAAACAAGTTCAGAAATAGAGCACAAGTCTATTCACCTCAAGATACATTCTTGCTAACTTACTTTTTATTGCTCTGGAGCTTTAATAAGTCAAGATATAATCAATTCGTACATGCAGTTCATAGAGATACTTTAAGTAAACTCAACCTCATGTCAAATCCTGAATTCTACATTTGTACTTCCCAGAAACTAAACAAATACTATAAGCCAGTCTCTTATAGTGTGTCAATTTGTATTTTAAATTGCTAGCTCAGCATCTGTAACATATCAACTAATAAAGCAATAATAGGTAGAGATGTCCAAAGGAGAGAAAAAGAGAGAGGCTCCTAAGACAGCAAGGTTAAGAAAAACAGATAAATCTCAGAAATCAAATGTTTATTACCAGAGATTCATCAGTCTTGTCAAAGCTGATATCTGATAAAATGGAACCAGATTCATCAATGGTTGACAGTCTAGAAGAATGAAACAACAAAATATTAGACACAGGAGACTACAGAACATAAAACCTGTCAACACTCAAAACAAGTACCTTTGGTGAGGTAATATTAGCAAGTTCAGAGCCGTAGCTTCTCTATGGGGACAACTATAAGCTTAAACCTTAATTGTGGTTTGGGTTGCCTTAGTTGTGGTTTTCACGAAGAGTATGTTTATGTGCACAAGTATGGGTGCAGTATAGTTGCCTTTTCAGCAAAGGACTTATAAGAAATGACAGTTACAGCCAGGGATATGGGTGATACTCCCTATAGAAAATTGAAGTTTAATTTGACCCCAACTGTGGCTGCTTTCTACAATAAAATTACCCAGCACTGATTTTTTTAAGAAATTAAGCCCATACATCATCTCAGTTGTAAAGATTCCCCATAAAACAAACAGGCAATGAAACAAACAGCTCTAAGAGTGCTGACCTTTCCCTACTTATTGTATCAGGGGTGTTAAATTCAAAGCCTGGGTGAGACTATCTTAAATAGTGATATTGGGGAACCAAAATTATTGTCTCATCCTGACTCATAGTAGCCTTTTTAAACTAGAAAAGCAAAAAAAACTAAAAATTAAAAAAAAATTTGTAAGAACCACACAGCTGGGGATATAGCTCAGTGGCACAGTGCCTGCCTGGCAAGCATGAGGTTGTGAGTTTGATTCTCAGTACAAAAAAAGAAAACCCCCCCCCCGCCCCCCCCCACATAAAAAGCTATAAGAGCTCTCTGGAGAGTAAACGGTGAAAGTATTGCTGAACTGCCACTTTCACCTTTAGGTTTCTTAGCATTGTGCAGGATTAGTTATTGATGTGCAATTTAGCATCAACATCAGAATTTCACCCTAAAAGGAGAGATTAAGAAAAAAGAAAAGGGTCAGGGGATATACAGCTCAGCAGCACAGTGCCTGCCTGGTAAGTGCAAGGTCCTGAGTTTGATTCACGATACCCCACACCCCACATAAAAAATTAAATATATGAATGAATGAAAAGAAAACAATAAGGAAGTCCCTGAGCCTTTATTCCCTACCACCCTTGGCCCAAAGTCTTTTTTTGCTTTCTTCAGCACACATTCCAAACGTAGTATACTAAGAGTTCAGATAACAGGAACTTCTGACAGCTGTGTTGCTTATGATCAGATAGCAACAGATGCAGTTCCCCCACCTTTTGTTCCCAGCATTGCCACTCGATGGTTGGCCTCTGTTGAGAAAAGCCAGAGCTGATCTTTGCTCTTCACTTAGTTGAATGCTGCCAGATGTGTCACACATGAGCATCTCTCGAATCAGCTGAATCTGTCGTTCCTACAGACCAAAGTAGAGAAAACACTGTAACTAGCCAGGGACGAAAGCTTCACCTCAAATTTATGGGACAGGCAGACCAGAAGACATTAAAATACAGCATTATGCAAATGGGCCTTCAGGAAGGCAGCTACACCAATAGCATATTAATTCACATCAAGCTCAGATCGTGGGTCTGATTTCTGACTGGTGAAATGAACTCTAGAATAGAGAGGCTTCCGCTATAAGACTTTTGAATCCAATTGCTAATCTAAGAGGAAAGTAACACAAAATGAGGGTCCCAAAATAGACTTCACATAGCAAAAGAAATTTAGTGTCATTTTTATGAGGACAATTAGTGGCCTCTTCTGTGGATCAAAGCAATCACTTACCTTTCTAAGTGGTGGAGGAAAATGCATTAAAATGGATACAAAGCTGTAACACACAGGAACCAGACAACCTGAGCTTACTGAAGCATCTAACATAGAACCAAAATCAATTAGTCCCTTCTAGCAAAGGTTTTCCTCTGCACCATAACCGACCCTAGCACAGCAAAATGATGTTGTACCTCATCACACTGCTCAACGAGTTGAGTACACCTAGCCCTTTATTCTGAATTAGAGAGTGGCAATGAAGAGAAGAGTAGGAGTTGCCTTGCCTGTCTCAATATCAAAGGACTATTATTCATGGAAGGATGAAAATATTCTGGGTAGCACTTACGGCCAATAACTTGTGACAGGTCAAGTACACTAGAATTTCCCTGCCTTTGCTCATTTTAATTCTTTAAATTCTCATTTGAAATCTGTCTACTGAGTAATACTTTCAAGTCTAAAGAAGAGAATAAATTTTAATTTCAAACTATAAACAGCAGGCTGCTATAGGCTGCAACTGCAACTCCAGTCAAAGGACAGGCTGCTTTTAGATCTTTAATGTGGAAGGAGAAACTGTGTATATATGGCAAGTGGAAACATTATCAGATGATGCTTCCCTTCCTCCATCACCACTGTGCTTGCAGAGGAAACGGTACATACCAGTTTCTCACAGTCAGCCTCAGCTCGCTGTCTCCGTTTGATCTCTACATCCACTTGATTACGTGCATGCTTCAGTTTAACATCCAGAGCACTACGCTCAGTCTCCGCTTTCATTAAAAGATCCTTGAATTTCCCCAGCTCATGGTCTGTTCTCTGCCACTTCTTACGGAAATCCTCAAAGTCCTTCGCCAACTGGATGAATTCTGAGGAAAGGTGAAAACTGTAGTAACCCAAGTATTAGAGTATAACAGCTCAAATAAATGGGTGCTATTGTTACCTTTACTCCAAATACATAATAAAGGGACCAGCTGAACTACTGGCAAACCCAGCTGAAAATAATCAGGAACACACCCGGGATACACTTGTTACTCTAGACAAGAGCTTTGCATGGAGCAATTCCTGATTCAAACAGGCCACTTACGTTTGGTTTAGCCAGTGGCATCTGCTATGGAATATGTAACTCATTAGTCACCTGGCTCCAGATGTAACATCAACCTGAAAGCTCCAGAACAGAAGGCAATCAAAGGGGGATACCTTTGGGGCAGCTGTCACACACCAGGACAGTTACAGCTATAAAACAAAAACAGTCTCCTCCGTGGTCATGCTTTCTTGCACCAGAGACATTAAACAGCAAATTCAAATGTAACTGTCATAATATGCTCCAGTAGATGTAGATTAATATTATAGATGTCTAGGCCTACAATTCCATTCAGCTATATAATTATACAAATATTGATTTGTAAGTGAATAGCCACTTTGCTTTTGCTGTTTAACACTGCCCTGAAGAGTATGTAAACATTTCAGTTGGAAAAACAGCAGAGAAGATCCTACTCGCTCTTGGAAAGTCACTGATAGCAGAATGTGGACTCTTCAAACGTCTGCTTCCAAGATAGCACTGCTTCCAAGACAGCACCTCAGAGCTAGATAACGCTGGTGGCATCCATTCTTGACACCTACTCTTGGTGAAGATGGTCCTTCTACAATGCCTTGCAAAAGTGCCTTACAGTTTCCTAGTTAACCTTAATCTCTCTTTAACCATCACTTTCCACCAACATCATGGAAAACAGTTTCAAGGTATATATCGCTATGGGTCAAGCTAATCTATTTACAGCTGAAATTGGGCCACATTCACACAAAGTTAACCAATTTCTAGGTAGCAAGGGTACTTTCCCTATTTGAATTTAACCTAAGAAACAATATGATGTTATTTAAAACTAGACTAAGTTTCAAAGTTATAAATTAGGATACCAATTCATTTTAAAGAAACCAAGTCAGAACACTTTAAATTTCTAGCAAATAAATTCTAGCAAAATAAGGTGTTTTCTTACACAATACAAATATCATGAACCAAAAAAATAGAGTATTACCATGTAAAGAGTTATAAACAGTATGCTAATTTAGTTAACAAGCTGGAACACATTACTTTTTATTTTTAAGCACAAATATTAATATATCCTTTTGCAAATTTAACTATTTCAACATTTTAGATTCATAAGAGAAAAATGTAAACAAGAGTTTCTTACTTGGCCGTTTACTGTGATAACTCACCAAGCAGTGCACTTATGACTTGTGCACGTTAGTGATGTATATAATGCTTTGATTTCAAAAACAAGAAACACACTTTTCAACTATCTAGTCTAAAAATTTTCTAGCTCCATATTGTGATCAGCAGCATGGTATTTCTCAGTAAGTGTTAGAGACACAATCAAGTTATTTACTAAATTGAAAAACAATCTGAGAATGGAAAGATTTCCATTCAACCTAATTTTGCTTGTTTGTTCTTTATGATAATTCCTCTTGATAAATCTTAGTAAGTTTGGACTTTAATTTCTACAAACTGCTAACTGACATGTATTAAAAGTGTAACTGAATTAAATCAAACAGTTCATTTTAAGGAAGAAGCTAGAAAATTGTGAAGACTATACAGGTGAAAAGTGTGCTTCTGTTCTTTACTGTCACAGTTAAATGGCCAAATAAGAAAGTTTTGTTTAACATTTTTAAAAAAAATTTAAAGAATGAATCCTTATTTCAATAGCACAAAATATTAAATTACTGGGCCAGCATGGTTTATACTAGATTCCCACCAGAACATTTGAATGTCTGACTTAAGATATTTCTTTCAGGTACAACTCTGCTGTGAGCAAAATTTGCAATAATTGAGTCAAAAGGTACTATGGACCATAGAACAGAAAAAATTTTGATTTTAGAGATCAATAAACTTGGTATTATTTGGTTAAAATTTGATAATTTTTAAATTCCGTTTGTGAATCACAATTCATCCTGGTATGAGCCCATCATGAAGCACACACTGAAAATATCTATTAAATTCAGAGTCCCTGCTTTATAAAGCTATATGCATAACAAACTATGAAGTTCATCTATCAAAAAGAAGTAAGGAGCCAAACATGGTAGTGCACACTTGTAATTTCAGCACTCCAGGAAGCTGAGGCAAGAAGATCCCAAGTTCAAGCCAAGCCTGGACAATTTACCAAATTAGTGAGATCCTTTCTCAGAATAAACAAATAAGTAAATAAGTAAATAAGTAAATAAATAAATAAAAAATTTTTTTGTCTTTTTAAGACAGGGTCTCACTAACAGTTCAGGCTGCCCTTGAGCTCACTTTGTAGCCCAGGCTGGTATCAAACTTGTAACAATCCTCCTGCCTCAGCCTCCTGAGTGCTGGGATTACAGGTGGGCACCACCACGCCTGGTTTAATAAAACTTTTTAAAAGGGCTGGGGATGTACCTCAGTGTAAATGTCCTGGGTTCCATTCCCTCATTATTCCCCCCCTACACACACACACACACACACACACACACACACACACACACACACACTAAATAAATAAGAGAAATTTAATTAGAACAAATTGAGGATAATCTATAATTCATTTAAAAGTCAGGATTTGGCTCATAGTTCAGAAAATGGATTTAAGTGATTCTAGAAATCTTGATTTTTGTTCTATCACACCCCCAGCCACAGGTTGTTGGACAGGTCCTTCCCTTTGTCTTCCTCACTACCCTCTGAATTTCAGGGCAAGGACCCTGTCTCTTTTCTTCTTTTAGCGCCAATGTCTTACACCATACCTAGCACATGTACATACTCAAATATTTGTTGCATGAATAAAGAACTGCTTTTCAGAACAAATTTAAACTTCAGCCATCCAAGCCTACCTTACCAGTCTAATCAAACTTACCTCACACTACTACACAACAAATACCTTCTCTACCTAAACCTGTCAGTCCCTGCCCCCAGAACCGATCCAGTTATGTCTGCCTTCTCACTTGTGACCAAGCTATGCATTCCAAATGGAATGCCCCACGTACTCTTCCTTACATACCCATTTTCAAGTCCCATCTGTTCCATGAATACTTTTCTAATCACTCTGCTCCACATTAAATCTTTCTAAACTTCCCAAAAGTGTTTATTTGTTAATTGTACTATCTTGTTTCATGAGAAGATCCTATCTCTGTAACCAAAATAGCACAATTTTCTTGATAGCAGCATCACATCACATATGCTGTACAATATATCTCTTGGCCGGGGAACTAGCTCAGTGGCACAGTACCTGCCTGGCAAGTGCCAGGTCCTGAGTTTAAGTCCCAGTACGCCCTCGCCCCAAACAATCGCTTAATACAGTATTGTATAGCACAAACTTAGCACTCTATGTCACTGGTACACAACAGGCACCTGCTAAATATTAAGGTATACCTATTGCTAACTTACACACCAATGATATCAAAAAGATTTAGGCAGCTTATAACAAAATAAAAATAGAAGGCAGCCAGGCTGGGTGGTATACCCTGTGACCTCTTCTACCTTGAGGCAGGAGAATGGCAAGTTTAAATTCAGCCTGGGAAATTTAGTGAGACCCCGCCTCAAAATAAAAATTTAAAAAGAACAGGAAATGTTAGAGCACTTGCTTCGCATGTGCAAGGCCCTGGATTCAATCCCCAGTACTGCAAAATTTATAAAATAAATACCATGTAGATGCGGGGGTTAGGTAACAAAATACCTAGGCTACTGAAGTTCTTTTATTTGAATATTAACTTTCGCTCTGATCTTTTAATAACTTTGGACTTAGGTTTTAGAAAACCTAAACAAAAAAAGAAAGAAATGAAGTTGTGATGAAAAGCAAGAGTAAGGAGTCAGGAGATATGTGGCAACGGGAATTTCCTAGGATCTGAGAAGAGGAAGGGTACTGCAGTGGCTGCACAAAAAAGATTCTAAAATCTAGGGCTGGGGATTTAGCTCAGCGGCACAGTGCCTGCCTGGCAAGCGCGAGGTCATGAGTTCGATTTCTGGTACTGAAAAACAAAACAAAACAAAACAAACAAACAAACAAAAAAAAGATTCTAAAATCTAAAAAATAATTTCTCAAAAGCCAACATTCCAGGTTAGAAATGGGGACATGACCTCTAGTATAAATAGATATCAATGGAAAACTACATTTGTTTATATAATAAAGATATCTGTAAAAATAAATACCTTGTTTAAGGGTGTGGTTTTTATGGGGCCATGATCACTTCTAAAAAGTATTTTCACAACTAGTATCTATCTCAATTTACCTACAAATCCTCACAACACTGCCATAAAGAAAATAAGGACATTTCAATTCCTATTTTAGAGCCAGCAGTTATTACCAAGACTGACCTTCTGATTCTTCCCTCTCCCCACATGCTCTCAGCTGTCTCCTCCCAGAAGTCTCATCACCACAATCTCTTCTACCCGTTTTCTCTTGTTTCCATCTTCACAAGCACCATTCCAAAAGCACTTGTTTAGTTAGGAATGGAATTCCTGCCTCTTTCCTGAGCTATGGTAACCACATCCTTCCTAGTCAGACTCCTAGCCTCTCATGTAGCCTACACCCTCTCTGCCAGGGTAATCTCCCCAAAGCACATTTCTGATTATGTCACACGCCCTTAATCCCATTCCCTTCAAACCCTCTTGCCTCCCCTCCGGCTGTTGCATGACCTAAAATGCCCTTTCATCTCTGCCTGTTAGGATACTACCCAATATCCCCCCCCCCCCCCCCCCCCC